GATGTCTCAGAATTGACTTGGAAGAACTTCAAGAAGCTTTTGAGAAAACAATTTTATCCAGTTGGCTATGAAGATGAAAGATGGTATAAGTGGCAACACTTCAGACAAAGATTTGGGCAGCCTGTACAAGAGTATACAACAGAGTTCCACAACCAAGCTATGGTTCTGGACATTGACGTTGACGACTACGACGTTTTCATGAAGTATACCGGAGGTCTTGCCGACTACATACGGAAAGAACTAAAATTGTTCACCGTAGATACTATTGAAGATGCTACTGTGAAGGCCATAGCCATTGAGGCAAAAAATAAAAGAACTGACAAGAAGGATGACAAATCAAAACCTGTCAACAAAACTGACTGGCAGAAAAAGGGGAAGCAGAGCAAGGAAGGTCAGACACAGAATGTCTACTGTGATCACTGTCAAACCAGCAGACATGCCAAAGACAAGTGCTGGATACTCCATCCAGAGTTACGGCCAAAGCGCGAGAAAAACAACCAGGGGAGAAATGACAGAAAAGCCACCTTAACTGCACAACGGGCAGAAGAGCTTCCAGAGTTGAAGCAACCTGATGTTACACTTACCCTTATGACAAGACCAGCAGATACTGAAGACACGTACAACCGTGAAGAGCTGTTTTATGTGAATATCCAGGTGAAGCAAAGTGTTGTACAAGCTATTATTGACCCTGGAAGTCAGAAAAACTTGATTTCAGAGGCTTTAGTAAGAACAGTGGGTTTAAACACCACACCACATCCTAAGCCGTACCCGTTAGGATGGATTCAGAAGGATGTTGACTTACAGATCACGAAGCAATGTACCTTCAAATTTGCTATTACCAATCGATATATCGATGAGGTGACATGTGAGGTGGTTCCTTTGGATGTTTGCCAAGTCATATTAGGTAGTCCATATTTATGGGACCGAGATGCCATCCATTATCGAAGGCTTCGCAAGTATCGACTTGTGAAGGATGGGAAGGAGTTCCACATCAACGCTTGCAAGCCTCAAGCTACAAATAATTTGCTTACAGATAATTTGCTGACAGCTAACCAAGCCAAGAGGTTAGTCAATTCATGTGGGCGATTCGTTTTGTTGATGATTCGACCGCAAGATCAAAGTTCTAGAGCTGTGACATTGTCTACATTGTCTTTATCTCCTGCACAATGCTCAGACATAGGGAAATTACAGGAGAAGTTCAAGGACTTATTTCATGATGTGCAGGGTTTGCCACCACGGAGAGCTGTGGAGCATGAGATCCAGTTGGTAGGAGATTCACCTCTACCAAACTTGGGTTTGTATCGTACTTCTGTGACGGAATCTGACGAGATCAAGAAGCAAATTCAAGGACTTCTTGAACAAGGAGTCATCAAACCCAGCTGCTCACCATGTGGTTCGCCAGTGTTACTTGTGCCTAAGAAAGACGGAGACTGGCGTATGTGTGTAGATTATAGGGCACTCAACAAAATAACCATTAAAAATCGGTATCCATTGCCGAGGATTGATGACCTACTAGATCAACTACATGGTGCACGCTACTTCACTAAGCTTGATCTCAAATCTGGCTATCACCAAGTCCGCATCCATGACGAAGATACTTGGAAAACTGCATTCAAAACAAAGCAGGGACTATTCGAGTGGTTAGTCATGCCATTCGGATTATGCAATGCTCCAGCTACCTTCATGCGATTGATGAATGAGGTACTCCGCCCTTTCATTGACGACTTCGTCATTGTATACTTAGATGACATTCTCATATTTAGTGTCACATGGGAGGAACATCTTCATCATATTGCTCAAGTTTTGGAGGTTCTACGAACAAATCAGTTACAGTTAAATGGTAAGAAGTGTGAATTTGGGAAACAACACCTTGTATACCTGGGATTCATTGTTGGTGCAGGAGAACTGAAAGTGGACCTAGAGAAAGTGCAGGTGATTTCTCAATGGCCTACTCCCCAAACAGTGACTGAAGTTCGGAGCTTTATAGGTGCATGTCAATATTTACGAAAGTTTATTCGGCACTTTTCACAAATTGCAGCACCCTTACATTCTCTAACAAAGGCCAATCAAAAATTTGAATGGTCGAGAAACCATGAGGAATCTTTCCAGTTATTGAAACGGAAGATTACAGAGGCCCCAGTATTAGCATTACCGAATTTGCAGAGACCATTTGAAGTGGAAGCAGATGCATCGAACTATGCTATGGGAGCCGTATTATTTCAAGATGGGAAACCAGTTGCATACCATTCTGAGATGTTTAGTGGACCGGTATTGAATTATCCGACTTATGACAAGGAGTTGTATGCAATGCATCAAGCAGTGAAGCATTGGAGAGCTTACTTGTTGGGAAAAGAAGTCGTAGTTCACTCAGATCATAAACCTCTTCAGTTTTTAACTACACAGTCTAAGTTACAGCAAGCTCGCCATATGAAATGGATGTCTTACCTACAACAATTCAGTATTGTGATAAAGTACAAGAAGGGAGCAACTAATAAGTTGGCAGATATGTTATCTAGACCACCTACACCAGTTAGTTCCGCATTGCTGGTGGCTATGAAAATCCAACCCATTGTTCCTTCTGAATATGCCAAAGGGTACGACACAGATGCTGATTTCAACTCAGCCTATGCCAAGCTGGAACAAGGAAAGACTAGTGAGTTTCAATTGAAAGATGGACTAATGTATAAGGGAACACAATTGTGCATTCCAGAAGATGGTGACAGATTGCAATGGATTCGTGAGGCTCATACTTCTAAAGTAGCAGGGCATTTTGGAGTTGAGAAGACTTTATTGAATCTTCGTCGCTATGTGTATTGGCCAAAGATGCATCTCGATGTTTCACGATACATTCGAGGTTGTGTTCTATGCAACACATCGAAGCCTTCCAACAGGAAGTTAGGACTGTATCTTCCATTACCAGTACCTACTCGACCTTGGGAGAGTATCTCGATGGATTTCTTAGGTGGCTTGCCTAAAACCAAGTCTGGAAATGACTACTTGTTTGTGGTGGTAGATCGTTTCAGTAAGATGGTGATTCTCATTCCATGCAAGAAGACCGTAACTGGAGAAGGAGCTGCTAAGTTATTTTTCCAATATGTTTGGAAGCATTTTGGCTTACCTACATCAATTATTTCTGACAGAGACAGTCGATTCTTAGGCCATTTCTGGAGGTCGTTATGGGGAATGATGGATACTAGATTGAAAAGAAGCACTGCATTTCATCCACAGACAGATGGGCAAACGGAGGTCGTAAACCGGACTATGGTACACTTGTTGAGGGGTTACAATTCCAAGCATCCGAAGACTTGGGATGAAAGTCTCCCTTACTTACAGTTTGCTTTCAACCGAGCAATTCATGGCTCTACACTCAAATCTCCATTTGAGGTTTGTTTGGGTTATTTACCCCAGAGTCCTTTTGATTTAGCATTCACTCTGAGTGACCAACCATTATGTGGGAAAGAAGAAGAAGAACATATTCGAGCACATAAATTTCTCGAACGAGTCAGAAAGATTCATACTGAAGTGGAGGCACAATTGAAACGTTCTCAGCAACGATATAAAGCTCGCCATGATAAGCATCGTGTGCCATGTAACTTCAAAGAAGGTGACCTAGTATGGTTACACCTTGGAAAGGAGCGGCTAACAGGTGAAGGCAAGAAACTGAAGCCTATTCGTTATGGACCGTTCAAGATCATCAAACAAATTGGTGATAATGCCTTTCAACTTGAATTACCACCATACATGCATATGTACTCGGTCATCAATGCCGAGAATCTTAAGCTTTTTGAGCCATCTCTACTTGATGATGATCCCGACGAAGACATTCGGCTTCCATCAGTTGATGACTTAAAAATTGAACTAGAAGACCCTTTGCTGAAGGATTGTATCTTGGAGCAGAAGGTTCGTGAGACCCGACATGGAAAGTATGAGTATTTTCGTATTGGCAGTAAAGGGCAACTTCCCAGCAAATCGAAATGGTATATTCGAGACAAGGCTACCCAAGAATTTCCACATCTCACCATTTAACTTGAGCAGGAGCTCAAGGTCTTAAATGAGAGAGCCATGATCCAGGTGGATCTTTTCAAGATAATTAAATAATAAATATTATTTAAATTAAATAATTTATCAACCATTCGACTCGAATGGTTTTAGAAGAAATGGTTCTGAACCATTTAAAAATTAATGGTTTGAATTACCTAAAGAATTTAAACCATTTAACATTTGTGGTTTAAATTCATTTATTATTTTTAGTTTTCTATTCTAGGCATTCAGGCTTGTATATAAACCATTGTAGTTGAATGAATTAAAACAGGCAGAACTCAAAGCAGTTCCTTAGCTTCTTCCTTTTTGTTTCTCTAAATTGTCTTAAAATTCCTCTCGTTCCCTTATTCCTATAAACTAGGAATTCATAGTTCTATCGACTAGAAGTTTTGGATCAAGTAGATTATAGTTTGTAGAGCTTTTCGTCGTTACCAAAGAAAAAAAAATTTAGCTCAAATCCTTATTCTAAGACATGGAGAGAGTGATTAAGTGATTTTTATTATTTTTAATGGATTGAATAAAATGCTTGTATATGTTATAATATATTCTGAAGCTTGCTGGTGCATTGAGTTCGCACATTCAAACTTGAACGGCGCCCCAGCGAAGCTAACTAACTTCGTTGCTGAAAAGGTTGACTTGAATGAAAATTGGAGTATCAATTGGGCATTCTTTATTTGGTGGTTTCAGTTTGTGGGGTTTCAATATTTAGGTCCAACAAAAGTTTAGATTTTAAGGTAAATTACTCAAATGGTCTTTAAATTTATACCCGATTTACATTTTGTTCCCTCAATTAAATTATTCATTCAAATGGTCCATCAACTTTATATTATTCGCTCCGTTGATCCCACTGTCTAATTTTTTGTTAGATTTAACCAAATTTGAGGGTAAATATGACTTTTCATAATTAACAAATAAAAATAGGGTTAAAATTAATACAAAATTAGAAAAAATTGAAGAAAATGAGGAAAAAAAGAAGGAAGATTGGGAGGAGGAGGAAGAAGAAGAAGAAGAAGAAGAGATTCCTATTCTGCATCTCACAGCTTCTATGCCAAGGGCTGTTTGAATGGGTTGCCTTGGGTTTAGTTAGCCTGCTTCCTCTCTGTTCAAGGAGCGCTTATTCCCACAGCTTCTTTGGGAGCAACTTATTCTTGTGCTACAGTACATAACAAGGCATTCAATCGTCTCAGGTTACCCGTTCCGTTAGTTTTTTAGCCGTTCTGTTAAGAGCGTTGGGTCCCACTTCGTTTTAACCTTTAATCTCTCTTCGAATAAGGGTTTCTCAGTTCAAACAAAGGGGGATTGGGTCAGAAGGGGAAATAGGAGAAGAGGGCTTAGAGTTTGTGAAAATATGAGGGGGGGTTCGATTTTGGGAGAAGCTGGAGAAGAAATTAGGGGTTTGGCATTAGAACTCTGAGGTGGAGTTTGAAATTAGGAGATTGTGGAATAGAAGATTTGGGTTGATGGAAATAGGAGAGAAGCAAGGAGAAGCAAGGCATGGCCAACGGTGTTATTGTGGGAAGTTAGCACGGATGCAGACTTCTTGGACCAGTTCAAACCCAGGGCGGAGATTTCTAGTCTGCCCAAAGTCAAAGGTAAGCATGTTTAAGATCAAATTTTCAGTCATTGTTTTCGGCATCACAAATTGACAGAGTTCTTATTGATGAAATTGTCAGTGATTGATGAAATTTTCAAGCATTTTATTAGGAAATTTTCAGTCATTATTCTTGGTTGATACAGGGAAGTGGAGGCAAATGATGTAGGTTTTTTTCAGTGGTTTGATGCAGAAATGTGTGATCGTTCAAAGTCTTTGATACCTGGTTTGCTAAGGAAGATTGATAGGGTGGAGAAGGAAAATGCAAAGATTCGAGCAAAGTCAAAAATGTTGTGGGCTGCTATGTTGCTTTCCTGGTTGGTGGTGTTTGCTATGAAGATGAATTAGGCACTTTGGTAGTAGTTTAGTGGGCACTGTAATTTGAGAACAAATGTTCATGTAATGTAAGGCACTTTGGCAGTAGTTTAGTGGGCAAATTTATTTTGAGAACAAATGCTAATCTAATGTAAGGCACTTTGGCAGTAGTTATGTTAGTGTAATGTAATGTAATGTAATTTGGTGTATTGTAATGTAATGCTAGTTAAGTTTGTTAATTGTTTTTGTTTAGAGGTTACAAATGGTGACATGAATGTAATGTTAGTTAGTTAAGTAATGTAATGCTAGTTAAGTTTGATATGTGATATGAATGGTAACTTGTTTAGAGGTTACAAATGGTAACATATTGAATGGTCAATTATCAAATTGTCAATTATCCATAACAGACATCAATAATCCCACAAACCAAATATAAGCACAAACCAAAACAGGTTCCAAAATAGGTTACAACCATAACAGCCTTAGGAATATAAGCACAAATCAAAACAGGCTTGTCTAATACCAAAATAGGTTCCAAAATACCAAAACAGGTTCCAAAATAGGTTCCAACCATAGCAGCCTTAGGAATATATGCACAAAGTCTAATACCAAAATAGGTTCCAAAATACCAAAACAGGTTCCAAAATAGGTTCCAACTATAACAGCCTTAGGAATATATGCACAAACCAAAACAAGTTCCAAAACCAAAACAGGTTCCAAAACTAAAATAGGTTCCAAAACCAAAATAGATTCCAAAACAGGTTCCAACCAAACATTCAAGGATGAAAAAAAGGATCTTTGACAAAATGGCTCCTCTGTTTATCTTTCATCCTTCGCCTACGTTGTTGTAATCGAGATAGTTTGACAGGTTCAGATGCTTGAGATGGTTGGGATTGAGAAGCATCAGCTGCTTGAGATGCCTGAGATTGAGAAGGCACTTGGGAATCGCTTGCTTGTTTCCTTTGCCTTAATTGCATACTATGTTGTCCGCTACTTGTGTCTCCACCATCTCTCCTTCTTACCTAAAACAAATAATAATTAGAAGTTTCCATGATATGAAATTTTGATTGGTGAAAACATAGTTGAAACCATGGAACTTACTGCAAGTTTTTCCTTGGCAACTTTCCTCGACCTAGTAGGCTTTATGTTGGGATTTCTAGGTTCCTAATAAGCAAAGTCATCAAGTTAGAAACCAAATCAAATACATTTAAATGTAAAGCAATAAGCCTATATTGACACATACCTTACAACTAATTCGATTATGCCCTTCTCCACCGCAATTGCCACACTTTAAAGGGAGGCCATACCTAAGAAGCTTATATGGATTAGAAGGTGCATTAGGTTCATCAACAGCTTGTTTTCTTGTCTTCTTAGGCCTACCAGGCTGCTTGTGGTATTTCGGAGGGAGTAACGGAGGTAAATTAATCTTCATCCACTGATCTTGGCTAATCATAGGCATAATCATTGGTTCATAGGCTCTCAAATAAGCCTATTTCTTGTACACTGCATCACAAAAGTCGTCTATGAAACCAACTTATTGCAGCACAAGCATGCAAACATGGTATTCCATTCAAATCCCAAGCATGGCATGAACAACAGTGGGCATTCAAATCAACAGCAAAGGTGCTGCCACTATGGTGCATTACTTCAAACTTATTCTATCCAGCAGCCTTAGGAATGCACCACTGAGCTTTTCCTTTGTTTTTCTCTAATATATTTTTAATTCTTGGCCCAACTTGTCCATGCCATTTGTCACACAAAACCCTTCTTCCAGCCATCAACAACATTATATACAACCGAATTCTTTCTAGCATAGTCAAAACAGGCTTGTCTCTAGCATCCATTATGCTACGGTTGAATGCCTCACATAGGTTGTTCATAATCATGTCACACTTGGAATCACTCTTGAAATATGCCTTACTCCAATGCCTAGGATCTTTCTATGCACGCCAATCATGTGCAGGTTTAGACAACTCCAATATCTTTCTCATCTCCATATGAAACCATGGCACTGTTGTGGCCTTAGCAATTGCTTCCATTTGATGTTTCAAAGCAAGACCTCTATGTTCCATATAGATGTTTCAAACAATGTCTATGCTCTACATGAGGGAATAGAGTATCCACAACATCTATTAACCCTTTTTGTTTGTCAGTCATAAATACATAACCATGGCTATTTGTTATATTCAGATCACCACTCAATAATTCTAAAAACCGCAGCCATGTTGAATTGCTCTTAATCTCTACATATGCATAGGTAAGTGGAAACATTCCGTTGTTTGCATCAACTCCCATTGCAGAAAGCACTTGCCCGGGGCGAGGCCCTTTGACATGGCACCCATCCAAGCAAACCACAGGCCTACAACCATCTAAAAACCCATTCTTGCAGGCTGCAAGACAAATGTAAATTCTCTAAAACCTTGGCCTATCACCTTCCATTTCAGATTTAATGATAACTGTACTTCCCACATTTCTGGTTCTTAACTCATGACAATAATCCCACAATACTTCATATTGTTTACTGTAAGACCCCTCTACAATGTCAACTGCCATGGCTCTTGCTTTGTTCACAGTTGCTCTAGATGGTCTGTAACCATAGTCTTGGTGAACTTGCTCTGCAAAAGAAGAAGCAGTCCAATTTGGATTGAGCCTTAACTCCCTGAATATCTTTCAGCCAACCAAACAGCAGTGGCATGTATATTTTTAGTCCCCTTACTACAAACATGTGTAGGATTAAAGGTTTTCACCTGCAGATAAGTGGTACCACTAACACTTAAAGCATGGATAACAAAAGGACAGCCCTCTTCACATGCTGCTCTTATTTTGTTACGGTCATTATTCATAAATATCAACTCCCTTCCACAATTAATGGAGTATATCCTCACAGCTTTTCTAAACAACTCGGCAGTTGCAAACTTTAAACCTATTTTGAAACCTGGGTTTGCCATATCAATTTCAGGTCTGAAATCTTCACCTTTTGCCATCCTATTCTTCTTCCTTCTTACTTCACCTACTGCATCATCTTCACTTGAAGAGCTATTGGGCAGGTAAGTGTAGGTGACTCTTCTCCATTGTCTGACTCATCATTTTCCTGTGCATTAGGATCATTGTCAATGCAACTATGATCCACATAACCTTTAAACCACTTATCATCATTCTTTAATAAGTCAATCTCTTCATCACTCTGTGCATAGTCACTGTCTTCAAAGTCTGGATCACTGCTATCATCATCAGCAAAACAAGAATATTCTTGATCACTGTTATCATTCCCCACTTGGCTTGAAGTCAAGCTCACTACCTTCAAGTACAAAACTATCAGTCTGCCATTGCTTTTAGGTACCATGCTCATACAAGCTAAAAGCGTACTATCAGATATTATATGAATGAGTCTACTAGTTCCAAACTCTTCACCATAAAAACTCACATCATACCCATCGTCATATCCCAAATCTTTAGCCATTCCAAATAGCTCTAACATGGACATATAGTCAACCTCACAGTAATCAAACCAACTGACTTCACCACCCAAGTAAGACCATTGACTGTCCTTTGTATTTTTAACTAGTTTACCTCCATGGCAAAACTTAAATGTGACAACCTCATCAGCATCTTTATTTGCGTAAGAGGAAGATTCACTTAACAAATGGAAAAAAAACACACAAAGAGAAAACAAGGACCACACAAGGAACACCCAAGGACCACATAAGGTATATTGGGGCCAGCACAGAGTAAAAAAGTATATGAAAAAACAAACAAAAAATCTAGCAACACACCAGACAAGGAACATGCAAGGACCACACAATGACCACACCAGGACCGCACAGAGTCAAAAGGTATACAAAAAACAAAAATAAAATCCTAACAACAGTTCAATGCACATGCCAAAATCAAGAAAATCGAGTAAGAATGGGTCCACTTACATATGGGTTGACAACTTCCAGATTTTCTAAGCACTACCATCTTTGCACTTTCTAGCCTTAAAGTCTAACGCCAAACCCCTAATTTCTTCTCCAGCTTCTCCCAAAATCGAACCCACCCTTAGATTTTCACAAACCTTAAGCCCTCTTCTCCTATTTCCCCTTCTGACCCAATTTCCCCCCTTTGTTTGAACTGAGAAACCCTTATTCGAAGAGAGATTAAAGGTTAAAACGGAGTGGGACCCAACGCTCTTAACGGAACGGCTAAAAAACTGACGGAAAGGGTAACGTGAGATGATTTTTAAAAAGTTAGAGGGTACTTTGAGACGTTTTAAAACCCAGGTGGTAAACTGAGATAATTTTGAAAGCACAGGGGGCATGTGCATTAATAAGCCTTGACTAAAACAGCCAAGGAGTGTATCTTCTAAAGGTTTCCACTTACCATGCAAACAATATATACACAATCAAAGGACATAAGTACTAATCATAGAAACATTCCATGTTTGATGCCTAATTGCTTACTATAAGTTCAACTCTGTTACTAACTATGATACTACCAATGAAAACCTAGAAATTTTTACCACCTGCACTAAAAAACAATAAGGGCCTATGCATTTTACAGTAATAAGCTGAATGTCCAAGCGTAATCTAAGAAACATTACATTTGATTAAGCCTCCTTTATAAACTCTTTTACACACACATATAACTTAACATATGTCTATTAAATGGATTCTCAATATCTGTCTATTAAAGCCTCATTAACATCTGTCTACTAACATTTGACTGACCTGCAGATGGCTGTTTCAAAGAAGGTGACCCCTGTGCAACGTCATTGGTAAGTAGGGCCATACCAGCGTGTGGCTCACCACCGTTTGAGGGTGCTTAACCGGAGGAGAAGATGGAGTAAAGCTATAGACAAAAATCCACATGTTGTCCAAAGGCGACCAAGGAGAATAAAGCTTATCCGTAGGCTCAACTGGCACGCGAGAAGCCATGGTGAAGCACGTGATCAAGGACGGAAAAGGCAGGGAGTCGGGCATGGAAGTTGGGAATGCAGCACAGCATATGGCACGGAAAATGTAGGTGGCCAGATCAATGGGCACATTGTTCCCAATGGCATAAAGGAGGCGAGCTCTATCAGGGCTAAACAAAGAAGGGATAACGTGACAAGGAGGATGTATATTATATCTCACTATGCAAGCACTTTGTACAAATCACTCAGTCGCTTTTCACGCAAAACCCTGACTCTCTTGTTCCAACCCAAAGTAGATTTCACCAACTTCAAGTCAAGATTATCAACAAGAAGCCCAGGAAAACCAGGTGATTTTTCATTTGGGTTTGGCCTAGCAAGTTTAAGCAACTGGGCAATGCTAGAAATAGAGGAATTCAACATCTTACGTCGCAAATACACATCAAATGAGTCAGGGTATTCTCGACCGCTAGAGAAATGCAGTCTCTCATCCCACAAATAAGCATCAAAAGGGCCCAACCTAAGTGGGTTTTTGGGCTTGGCGGAAAAAAGAGGAATGTTTGCGTAGAATTCTTGGACAATCTGGATATTAGCATGCTATGAAGGACCCATTGCTGAAAGTCAACCACTTGATTTGAAGATTCTGGGGAGCCCAAGATCCTCGAAGTCACTCAATTTGACCTCTTGCTCAACCGTCACACATTGAACTCTGAAGATTTTCTTGTAGCTGTTCATTGCTTCCGCAATTTTGAACTTACTTTCATCAATATTGTCATCAACATAAGATGACAACGAAGTAGTAGTTTTAGAAGATTTGAGCTAAAAATGGTTGTGGGTTGGGTTGAAGGATGAGGATGACAGGAGAAAAAGACTTTTAAGTTGAGAGAAAATGGAAATTCCGAAAATGAAAAAATATAGGGTATTCTACTGAATTGCCCCCCTGAACTTGTACAAAATTCTCAATTTACCCCCTGACATTTTTTTTAGCGAATTAAGAGCTCGAATTAAATTTTATTATCAATGTTCCCCCCTCCGTCAAAATTCAAACATTTCATCCATTAATCCGTCATTTGACTCAAGTTCACTCTCTTTTGAGGGTTATTTTCGTCATTCAGCGCCTTCTTTTTGGAAAAATAAAAATAAATAAATAAAAAAAGAACAAAAAAGTTACTGAGAACCCAGCGCCCCACCCCTCGATTTCCTTCTCCCTTCAATTTTTCTGATCTAGCAACTTAATACCCAAGTTAGTCCAACCCATCAGCCTACTTTTATTCCTTGTGCTCATCCATGTTGCGTCAACATCAGAGTTTGTGCAATTGAGGGAATTCAATATTATCAACTCGTCTTCCTTTCTTGGTTATCAGCATGGAATGGTCCCCCACAAACCCAGAAATCTCAGCCAGCAACCACAAACCCAGAAACCCCTTTTGGTTTTTCATCCTTCCCCAACAACCCAACCCTTCCCCCACAAACCCACAAACCCCAGCCAGCAACCACAAACCCAGAAACCCAGATCTGGTTTTTCACCCCTCCCCCACAAACCCAAAAACCCCAGTCAGCAACCACAAACCATAACTAGGAGTTAGGCTAAATACAAATAAGATCCCATCTTGCTTTTATCTTTAGTGCTAAAGTCGAAAGGCAAATAACCCAAGAAAATGGCAAAGTTTTCAGCCACGGGTGCCTCCTCCTCCATGAACATTACTTGCACGAAATGGTATGGTATTTGTTTCTACTTGAAGTTCCAAAACCCAGACCCAGAAACCCCTTTTGGTTTTTCATCCCTCCCCAACAACCCAGAAACCCCTTTTGGTTTTTCATCCCTCCCCAACAACCCAACCCTTCCCCCACAAACCCACAAACCCCAGCTAGCAACCACAAACCCAGAAACCTAGATCTGGTTTTTCACCCCTCCCCAACAAACCCAAAAACTCCAGCCAGCAACCATAAACCAGAAACCCCTTCTGGTTTTTCAAATGGTTAGATGGATATTTTTGCTAGCCATATAAGAACTAGAGCTGGAACGATTTAGGACTAAAGTTGGACTGATGAAGCCCCATCTGGTTTGTGAATATGTTTATGTTTGAATTGATATTCTCATCAGTAAACTTATCTTGGTGAGTTTTGACAAAATCTGTTGTTATTGGCAAGCTGCTATGGTGGTGGTCTCTGCAAGGCCTAGGCTGCCACAATGATGAAGACCCAAGGAAGGCGTCGAAAAGCTGGTGAGGTTGACAATGCTGAATGACCAAAATAACCCTCAAAAGAGAGTCAACGTGAGTCAAATGACGGATTAATGGATGAAATGTTCAAATTTTGATGGTAGGAGGAACATTGATAATAAAATTTAATTCGAGCCTTTAATTCGCTAAAAAAAAAGGTCAGGAGGTAAATTGAGAATTATATATAAGTTCAGGGGTAATTCAACAGAATACCCAAAATATATTCTTGACTTAAGTTTGAATTCCTTTCCCTATTTATATTTAAAAATACAATCACTACTATTATAAATTAGGGTTAACTGGTGAAATACCCCCGAACTTGTACCTAAGTTTCAATTAGCCTTGTATCCTTTTTTTAAAGAAAATTAAGGAGATAAACTTCTTTTTTTGGCCAATTTCCCCCATCCTGTCTACATCTCAACATTTCATTCAATTTTCTGTTAAATCATTAAAAAAAATTTGGAAAAAAAGAAGAAAAAGATAACACAAAACTCAGTTTTTTTTTCTTCCCCCTCCTCCTCTGCTTGATGCTTCTCCCGAGGCCAACCAGCCCCACCCCCGACTCACCTCCTCCCGCCTCCTTCTCTCTCTCTCTCGTCGCCCTATTCCTTTAGGCTTTAGGATTTTGATCTTCTTTTTTGTTTTTCTTCCTTTTGTTCTCTACAAAGTGTCTCCCTCTCTCTCCTCTCTTCCCCCTTCTCTCTCTTCACAGATATCAGCATTGCCCACCCTTCACCCGCCCCCCTCCTCCTTCTGTCTCCCTCTTTCTTCGACATCCACAACCTCACCTCCCAAAAAACCCAAACAGCCACCCCAAAAAAAATTATTCAAGATCAAAACCCTAAATAGCCATCCAAAAAATTTCAAGATCTTTATTATTATCCTCACCTTACTCCCTAGGAAACCCAAACAGCCAAACAGCCACCAAAGATAAAAAATTCAAGATCAAAATCCTAAACAGCCACCCAAAAAATCTCAAGATGGTTATGATTAAATTTTGTTTTCCTCTCTATAACCTTGGTAGGGGAAGAGAGAGAGACGCAAAAAGAGAGAGTGGGAGGGAGGAGGAGGGGGTGGGCACATGGGGGAAGAAGAGACAAAGGGTGGAGGATGGTGATGTTGGTGGATGTTGAAGAGAAGGAGGGAGAAAGAGATCGAAGAGAGGGTGGTGATTTTGGTGGCCGTCAAACAGAGGGTGAATATATCATTATTATTTCAATTTTTAATTTTTTTAATTTTTAATTCTATCATTAGGATAAGAGAGATGGGTATGAAGACGTAGAGATACAATAAGCATAAGAGAGATGGGTATGAAGACGATGGAGATGATAGGAGAGGTAATAGGGATCAGCGGAATGGCCAGAAAAATTCGGGTGAGCCTGAATTGTATCAAGTTTATAAGGTCAGGGTTTCGAGAGTGGTGGACACCAGTTGCTTTGTTAGTGGTGCTAAGAGCATCTCCAGCGCAGCCCAGGCTAAGGGGGAAAGGCTGCCAGAGGCAGCCCGAGACAGCTCCAGCGCAGGGCCCGTAGCCCGGTTTGGTGGTGGGTCCCACGTGCCTGAGCAAGCCCAAGGGCAAGTCTTGCCCGGGCTGAAGCCCGAGTTGGCTGGCGTCATGCTGACGTCAAAAAAAAAAATTCGAAAAAATTCTGAATTTTTTTTTAAATACCAAAAAATTCTGTATTTTTTCCCTATAAATACCTAACCATTTTATTCACTTTCTACACCAAATCTTCATAAAAACTCATCTCCTTCCAATATTTTTCACTTTCCACATCAAAATCTTGGCGAACGAAGTAAAAAAAAAAAAAAAAAAAAAAAAAAAAAAAATTTTATTCAATTTAATGTCTTTTTTTATATATATATTTCTTGCATTTCCAATTTCTTTTTTTTTAATAGATTAGTCAAGGCAAAACCAAAAATGTTATTCGAAAAATTTTATCCAAAAATTTTATTTGAAAATTTTATTCGAAAAATGTTATCTTAAATTTTAAATGAAAATTTTATAATAAATAGTGACACGTGACAACCGAAAATATAATCTAAAAAGCTTATCAAAATTAATAGTTTAAAGTATAAACAAATAGGAAATAAAGTACAATGAATAGTAATTGCCTTAGACTTGCCCTAGACTTTGCCCTCATGGGTGGAACCACAAATGCAAAGGCTGACACTATTCACGTGAATAGTGGCAGCCCTTGCTTGCCCTTGCCTTAGACTTAGCCCTTGTGGGTGGAGATGCTCTAAGGATGTGGTGAAGAGGGATCAGGAAGTTTATGTGAAGGTGATTTCAATTTCAGGTCAGAAGTTGAGCCTTTCGATGAGGAATGTTGATCAACATACAGGGAAGGATTTGCTCCCCTTGAAGAAGAGGTCAAAGAATGATGCTCTTAGGATGAACCCATTTTTTTCAAAGGATGGACCTGTGACTAGGACTGGTCTTTCTGGGATTAGGATTGTGGAAAAGGATGATGTTGGCCCATCACGGCGGCCATTGAAGAGAATGAGCTCGCCAGAGAAGTGGGAAGCCAAACAGTTGATTGCCTCAGGTGTTTTAGGTGTTACAGAGTATCCTATGTATGATGAGGAAATCGATGGGATGCTTTATCAAGAAAAGGGAGCTGAGGAAAAGCTTGAGATTGAGCTCAATGAGGACGAGCCAGCCTTTTTAAATGGACAGGGCAGGTATTCTGTTGATATGTCACCTGTGAAAATCTTTAAGAATCCAGAAGGGTCACTGGGTCGTGCAGTTGCACTTCGGTCTGCACTCATTAAGGAGCGTAGAGGAGTGCGTGAGAAGCAGCAAAGAACCATGTTGGACATTACTTTCCCAACCAATTTGGACTCTAATAAGCCACTATCAAGCTGACCAACAAGTTTATGAAAACCATGTTCATCTGGGTCTGGCCTAGGGGTGTTTTCGGTGTCGTAACCGCACCGAAGTCACACAACCGCATACCTGCTGAAACCATGCGGTATATCCAAAATCAGAACCACCGCCAACCAGCACAAGGCCGGTCACCGGGGGTATCGGCATCAGTTGATGTCGTCGTCGGCAATCAGCGTCGGCGATGAACCGCACAATTCATCCACCACAAACACAAAGAGAGAGAGAGAGAGAGAGAGAGAGAGAGAGAGAGAGAAGAAGAAGAAGAAGAAAAGAAAAGAAAATGAGAGAAGAAGAAGAAGAATTTGATGAAGGAAAAAAAAACACTCAGAGAAACCAAAGAGAAGAAGAAGACGACGATGGAGCAAAAGAGAGGGTTAGGGTGATTTAGGGTTTATGTATGGTGATGGATTTGGGCCTAAAATAGTATGGGTGGGGGGCTTTTTGGGTTTACAAGAGGAGGGCTTTTTTTAGTTGAAAAAAGAAGGAATATCAGCCCAATTAAAAAGCCTGAAACTAAAATTAGCAAAAGTTGGAGAGTGTAGGGTTTGAACTCCAAACCTCGAACTTAACCATGATTCCTCTTCTTCTTCGTCTTCTTCTTCATCAAATCCAATCCAACCTCCGTTCTCTCTCTTTCTCGACTCCATCTCTGACCTCTCTCTCTCTCTCTCTCTCTCTCTCTCTCTCTCTAGACTCTGCCTCTGTCTCTATCTCTTATTATGGGGATAGGGGTGGTCAGGTCTTGAGGGAAAAATAAGGGGAGAGTGGGAGAGAAAAAAACAAAGGGAGAAGGTTGATGTGGGTTGTAGGTGGGAAGTTGTAGAGGAAGTTTCTTTTTTTTTCCTTTTTTTTAATATACTCTATCGGTTGCAGCAGTCGACAGAATTGATCTCAGGACACCGCAACCGTGACCGGTACTGATCGGTCCGGTTGGTCAACCGCAACCACGTTGACTTTTTGGTCAACCTCGGTTTACCGGCCGCAAAAGTCGGACGGTAACCAACAGTTTGCGGTACTTTTGGTCCAACCGCACAGCCCTAGTCTGGCCTATCAAGTTTTTTGTTCATTTTTTGTTACAAGTGATATTGGGAGGGAATCACATCTAGGACCTCGAGTGCGGGGATAGATGCTCTTAACTGCTTGAGCTATAAGCCCCTTGCTAGCCTATCAAGTTAAAGCAAATGGTCAATGCGAGTATTTGGGTTTGCCTACCAAGTTTTCATTATGGCTCTACAAATGTTTGTAATATCCAAGAGAAAGCAGTGATTGGCCTGCAAGCCTTGATAATTGCATATGTTGGAGCCTTTATATATCTGCAAGTAATGGGCAAGAACTTGAACATTTCTGCAGATTGAAAAGAGAGAAAATGCTTGTGATTGCTTTTCCAGGAAGACCTTCAATCTTGTACTCCACACACAAGATTTAGCACACATTTTATACATAAACTTTGGTACAAGGCATTTTGCAGCTCACAAGTAAGCCTAATACAATCTTAAAATCCACAAAATAGAGCATTGCAAGCCCGACCAAATACAAAAAGTCTGTTTACAAAAAGGCATCTTCTACCATGTGCCCAGAACAAGATGTTGAATTATGAAAGGAAAGAATGACCAAAACATAGCCACACATTTACAAGGAGAAGCTAACCCCAATTTACGAGGAAAAGCTGTACGATTGCAAATAGATGACCAAAACAGAGCCACACATTGTAATTTAAAATCAAGTCCGCTTTGGCTTAGGCTTAGTTAATTAAAATAACACTATAGCTGGAATTAATACATTAATCAGAGTGAGCTTGGATTAAAATGTCAGTGGAGTTTTTCTCACTGTTCTTGCTTTAATTGTACTGTCTTGCTTATTTGTATGATTTATTGTTTGCAAGAACCCTCCTCTGGGGCAGTGTTCTTCATGTATATTTTATAATTGCCTCTGTTGTGATTGGATCTGAATGGATCTATTTATTTCTCTCAATAAACAAAAATAAAAATAAAAATACATCAATCCGAGAACTCCGAATTAATTGTTCTGACAAGTAATTAACACTAATATAAATCATATTTATTCCTGCTAAGCACTCCAAACTAAATTCGTAAACTCTTCTCTAGATGCATGTGCGTGCGCGTATTAGCAATCTTCCACACTTGAACTGAAACGAGGCATTCAGCTACAGCTACTTGTCTCCTAATTTAGATGCTGCAGCTAAATATCAAAGTAAACAAATTAATACCCGTCAGTTTGGAGAAAAGAAAAAAATGCAGTAAGAAAATAATTATTAAACGAAATTAATGATGAGAGAGAAAGCGTACCGCCACTAGCTTATCTATTAAGCATATGCTAGCTTTAGTTGCCGTTTGATCAAAGCTATCCTCACATAAAGCCAATCATTTAAATTATTCAAGAACTTGAAGTATGCGTATCTCCATGGCCTGTTGAATATCAAAGTGCCGCAAACTCCCCAAAATCCAGCAAAAAACCCAATCCCCATACTGATGTAAAATCCCAGTGTTATAAACTCATCCTTATCTTCTTCATTGCTCAAGTCAATTTGCTCATTTTGTTCCGCACACATTTTAAGTGGAGGTCCACAAAGTTGAGGATTTTCAGCATAATCAAGGGGATCAAAGCTTTGGAGTTGAGTGCCTGTTGGTATTTTGCCAGACAAGTTGTTATATGACAAGTCCAAGAAACTAAGACGATCTATCCGAGCAAGGCTTGTCGGAATACTTCCATCTATGTGGTTTCTTGACAAATCAAGAGAATCCAATGACTGCAAGTTTCCAATCTCTGGAGTTATTTGACCTGTTAACTGGTTTCTTGAAAGGTTTAAAGAAACCAACTCAACAAGATGAGTGATTTCACTTGGAATCTCCCCTGTTAATCTATTGCTTGAGAGATCAATTCTCTTCACAAGGCGCAAAGTGCTTTTGTATGTCCGCATTATTCCTTTCCATATGAAGCTTGCATCATCCTCATAAATAAAATTTTCTTGATAAATAGGCCTATGTGTAAATCTAAAATAAGTATGTGTGCTGGATAGAATTGAATTTCCTTTTTGAGCCAGAGTAGTCAAATTGTTGAGGCATTTTGGTATGCTTCCAGAGATGTTGTTCATGGAGAAATCCATAATTTGAATGTGTGTTAGATGGCATAATTGTGAGGGCATGCTTCCATTGAAGTGATTAGTGGAAAGCATCAGGATAACCAAATTCTTGAAGCTCCCACCTAACCATTTAGGTATTGGTCCTGATAATTTATTATATCCCATATCAATAACTTCTAAACTTGTGCAGTTTTTCAACGATGAAGGCAATTCTCCAACAAATTGGTTGCTTCTTAATTTCAAAGTTTGCATTTGAAGTAAAGAGCCTATTGTCATGGGAATTTTTCCGGAAAAAGAGTTGTTACTCAAATCAAGCATGACTAGAGTATCCAAATCGCTCCAGCAATCTGGAAGTTCTCCAGAAAAACTGTTGCTTGAAAGATTAACATATGTTAAAGTCATATCTGGACATTCACATAGGAAAGAAAGTGACCCTGAAATGTTATTATTAGAGAGATCCAGATGTGAGGCTCGTGCTCGAGTTAAGGGATAATTTGGATCTAACGCTAGGTCTGTAAACTTCACTACCAAATCTGAAAATATTCCTCTGATCAGGTTCTGTGAGAGATTAATAACGTATGCGCGACGAAAATTTCTCCAAAACCAACTTGGAAGGACATCAGAAATTCCAGCATTTGAAATATCAAGCTGGGAAGAATCATTTTGAGTTTGAAGCCATTTTGGGAAAAGAGGACCGACCTTGCAGGACGCCAAATTTAGGTCACTCAACTGGAAGGGAGGAACCCAATCAGAATCGAAATTTAAAACCAGTGAGTTAAAGGATAAATCCAAATATTGTAATTCGGAGAGTTTTGAGAAATGAGTTTCTGAAACCACCCCTTCCAAAGAGTTCATGCTGAAATCAATGTCATACAGTTGGGACATTTGCCCAACACTTTCAGGTATTTTTCCGCTTAATTGATTGGCGTCAAGATACAAGGCTTTCAAAGATGAGAAGCTTGTAAGATTGTTTAATGACCCCGCAAGAACGTTCTCAGAGAGTTGCAAATCCTCTAATGAGTTTTGAGCACATCTAGGCAATAGTTGAACAAACTTGGATAATTGTCCACTCAGATGATTTGTTTGAAGCCACAATGTTCGCAAATTACACAGCCTTGCAAACGAATTTGGATTCGCTCCTTCAATCTGGTTGTCAGAGAGATCCAGATGCACAAGAGAGCTCATGTTTCCAATGAAATCGGGAATGGAACCAGTTAGATTATTGTAGGAGAGGTCAAGAAAAACAAGGCTTGTACTGTAGTTGGACAACCAAAGAAATATTGACGAAGTGAGATGGTTATCAGAGAGATAAACATTTTCAAGAGATGTAGAAGAATTTGTTTTGTAAAGAGTAGTGGAAAGAATTGGAGTAGGAGGAGGAGGAAGACTACAGTTCACCAATCTCAACTCTACTAGTTTAGGGAGCTTATTAAGTACTGCTTCTGGCCAATCGAAAACAGTACTGAGATTGTTTCCGCTTAGGTCCAAATACGTTAAAGAAGAAAGAGCAGGGAGCCAATTGAGATTTTCTGGTTGAAGCTGATTATAGCTGAGGTCGAGATTTTGCAATTGCGTGAGGTTTCCGAACGAACTTGGAATTTGACCAACCAAATTACAGGAACTGAGACTGAGGTTTCTTAGATTGGTTAGAGAACCAATGAAATCAGGAATTTGGCTCTCATTGAAATCAATGGATGCAAGGTGCAAATATTGTAAATGCTGCAACTCAATCAGTTTAGGACTAATCATCTTACCTTGGAAAGAATATTCAGGGACAGAATATCCAAGATCAAGTTGAATCACATGGCCAGTTTGGTTGCTACAGTAGACTCCTTCCCATCTGCAACAATCTTGTTTTTCGGCTTCTGAACCCCAAGAAGAGAGATGATTGAACTCATCCACCAGGCCACGTTTGAATGCAAGTAGTGCTTGCCTTTCCCTCTCTATGCACCTCACTGTCACTTTAGCATCTCTGAGGCTGTGGCTGTGGTTGTGGTTGTGGCCAACTTCTCCTCCTTTTACGTTTTGTAGGAAAAGGATCGAAAATGCAAGAAAGAGTTTCAAGCACCTTCCGTCGCCCTTCATGTTAATTGATCAAAAGCACATGCACATGCAAAAACACTGCAAGTGTATATTGATATATGCTAGCTTGCATCAGATATATATAGGAAAAAAAGGAAGAAAGCTTTTACAAAGAAAAACACGGTTTAGCTAAAACAGTGCCACACATTCATGGCGCATTGATGCACCTAGACCACTGTAGAATTTTCAAAGACTTTTAAGTCTCCACAGCTATATGTAACTCACACGTCAAGTAGGTGTTGGCTGTCCGATTAGACTAGTTAGAAATGATGAAGAGTTTGCAGGGAAAGATCTACTAAGATATCTTTTGCTGGAAAAGGGAGGATGATAGATGTAGTGTTCATACTACTATTTTTTAATTTCAATAAAATAAAAATACTATTTTTAAAATTTTGGTTAATTTTTTAATATAAAAAGAATTGTGTACGCTCGGTGACACATCATACTGTTTTGCTGAGTAGTGACATAGCTCAATGATGCTCTCATACCATGCCATGTGGACAACTACCCTGTATATGTAGGTTCAATTTCAAATACATATGAATGTATCATTCAAAAGGAAAAACATTTTTTTGTCACGGGAATAACACTATATTGCTATCTCTATAATAATGCTTGAAAAAATTAGAGATATTTACCTATTCTTAACACTAAAATTATAAATAAACCCCACACCATTTAATTTTTATAAATAAACCCAAAAAATGACAGTCGAATATATTGAATTTAATTTTGATTATTAAATTACTTTGCTTTTTTATAAGGCTTTTGGATTGGGTTTGTTTCAAGAAATCAATGACAGTTTTGTAATTTAAAAGAAGTTAAAAGCATTTTTGTTATGTTGTAAATGGGCTTTGGGTATGTTCTAAAGTCCATTTCATATAGGTTTTTTTTTTAATTTGAGCTCTTATATTAGGTATGAATCTCCCAAAAAATTATCCTAGGTGGTTTGAAACATTTACTAGTATACCTTGTGATTAGTGTGGCAAACAAGTTTAAGGGGAAACATTTCAAGATGGAGTAATATTTTTTTTTCAGGGTTAAATAAATTTTTTTTAGATGCAAAGGAAATTACTAAGACAATCAATGCGGAATCTGCGGATACACATATTTCTCCGGTCAATAAAAAATGACACATGAAAAAGAGATATTCCTTAAATCAACTAATTATCCTAATTAAATTTTATTGAGCATTTGTCCATCTTAGTAATTTATAAAGTTGGGCAGGGAGCTTGCTGTTTTGAAGTCTTCGTATGCAAACTCATGATGACTGACTCACACAAAAAGACTGTAAAGTCTTTTCAATTTTTTGGTTCCACAAAAAGACTGTTAAGTCTACATACTTGAGTGTAAACTAGACTTTTAAGTCTTTGCACATCCGCATTTAACTCAAACGTCAACAAACGGTAATTTCCTTTTTTTTTCCTTTTCCTTTTTTAATTGCTCAATTACTTTATTTTATCATTTTTATGTTTTTTCTTTCTTTGAAAAGCCAACTGTCGTAGAGACAAAGCTCCGGAAAATTGTTTTTCCACTTGCGCTAATTTCCCCGCACTCGAAGGGCCAATAAGCTACTTGGGAATCTCTTTGGAAAGTGTGCAATTGTGTGTTTTCAAATGAAAGACTGAAAAGTGAATATGAAGGACGCGTGCTCCAACTAACTTGCAGGTATTGACTTGAGAGACTGAAAAGTGAACAAAAGGAAGAGAGACTCACCACTTTAATTCATGTCCCTACGTGGAAAAAGATAAATGAAGACTTGTGACTTAGACTTGATATGGTGATTTGCCCTTCAATGCGTGTTTCAACGAACTTGCAGGTATTGACTTGACTTGACTTGGTAAGGTGCCTTCCCGTGTCCACTCAATCAATGGCTTTACATCCCATCCCCTGGGCACAAGTTACAAATATTTTCTTGCAAATGTGAACTTGACTTAAGTGAAACATATGAAAATATCTCTACTCAACATAATATTAATATAATACCTGTATATTTATTGATACTAATACATGAATATTGGGTTTTTATTCAACAACTATAATATGAGAGTTTGGTTATTGACCAAGTCTATTTTGAAATGCCCCTATAATTTAGGTTAAACATGGGGTCTTACAATTACACACGAAAGTTTCTCTTATTATAGTGATGATCACGAAACACTTAAGTATATTTAGTGTTGGATATCTGATCATAGAGTTTCGGAGCAGCTTCCTTCATTTTGCATTCGGATTCTTTGATTTGATTTGTTTTGTTGCTCGTTAAGTGATTAGTATATGAATTACTCGGTCCCGTTCTTCTGGACTCCTGTGGTCCAAGGAATTTGTGGTCACCCACCCTTGGATATAAATGATAATATATTATTATTATAAAATAAACATAAAACAAATAATTTTTAAAAAAAATTAAAAAAATTAAAAACAAACAAAAAAAAAAAAAAAAAAAAAAAAAAAAAAAAAAAAAAGAACAAAAACAGTCCACAGAGAAGAAAGAGCTTGAGAGTGTGTGAGATGCATATTGATTGGTTGAGGGGCAATTCTCAGTCAGAATAGGGGCGAGATTCTGAAGACGATGAGCAATTCCCAATCAAGGTAAATTATCTATATATAATAATACGTAAATATTTTTAAAGAAAAAAGGTACATTAATTATAGGAAAATAGGTACATTATTTCTAAACAATCAAAAGTTACCTATGCAAAAGTCACCCTAAACAATCAAGATTTTTTTTTATATTTTTGAATTCCATTTTTCTGTTTTCCCTTTTTCCCCTTTAAACAGATATCAAAATTCATACTCTAATTCAACAATTGAGTCATCTCAAAGTCTTTTCTAACAATCTAAAGATCAAGCTCCAATTTGTACTAAACATATATGCCTAAAAATCAACCCAAAACATCAATCAAATGAAACCAAAGGCAGCTACATCTCATTTTTCATGTTTAAAAAGCTCCCTTAAAACAAAAAAAAATTCAAAATATGTTTTTCTAGTCCTAAAACTGTCCAAATATGTTTTTCTTTGCAGTGTTTTTATATGAGATGCCTAAACTTTGTTAGTCCACTTCTAAAACAAAAGAAAAATCCTGGAAAACAAAAACAAATAGAGATGGAAGAAAACAGAATATCAGCCATCATCAAAATCCAAAGCAAAAATCAGAGTCAAACTTCGACCAACAGATCAATAGTTGGGAAGGGAGAAAACATTCATGAATTAAACTATTATTTCTTAATTACATCTATAGCCTAGTGAAGCAAAATGGACACACACCAACATGAGCACAACTATAGAAATAAGAATTTTCAAACACAATATCCAAAAACTAATTAAACAGAGCTTCTATAGCCTAACCAAGCAAAACAGATGTAATCAATAACATTAAATGACTGTGTGACTCCATGATACCACAAACAAAAAAGCTCTTTGCATGGTCAAATTTTATCTCCATTGAAATGTGTTTTGTTTTTTGCCAATTTGTTCCAGATAATAGAGGTAGTGTTCATACTTAGAAAGAGAGAAGAATTAAAATTCAGAATTAGAATTCAAATATTGGAGGTAGTGTTCAAACTTTGAACATCTCTAACATGACATCACCAAATCAGTAAATATTACATAAAATTAGTATAAAAAAACATGAACAGAAAAACAAAAAATAAAATAAGAAAGCAAATATTAACAACAATAGATCATTACACAATTTGTGTAATTAGTGCCACATGTGCTACATCTTTAATTAACAGTGTTTTGATATGTAGCCAACCTATAAAATTAAAAAAATTAAAAAAAATCTCATCCTCATTGTTAAAAATTGATGATCTTTTCCCACTTTAAAGCTATTTCCACTATGAATTGAAAAAAAAAAAAATTATTAAAAAAAATAGTTCTTTCACTAACTGTATTGCAATACATAACACAGCAATTTCTTTTGTTTCTATATAATATCCTAATCTCCTTTCTTTCCATGGAAAATTGGCATTTTTCAGATAAGGAAAAGCCAGTGAACAATTTCATTAACACACAATGAAAAGCATTATCCTGAACTGAAAGCTTTCAATTCCCATATCAATATCAAATTCCAAAAAGTCCAACTTCTAAAAACAAAATACATAAAAACCAAAACATGAATCAAAACAGGATAAAAAATAACCCAAAAATACAGAGAGAACTGCACCAAGATCCATGATCCATCTATTTATACCATCACTCTATATATTAGCTTGCTTTTAGAGCCTTCAACTGTCGAATGAACATCTGGCAACTTAAATGAAACTACAACTCAAAGGAGAGGAGGTCCTTGGAGTGGTTTCAAAGATACCTAACCTCAGTAGATTGCAAGTCCCCTGCTTTGCAGATTATCTTCTCAGACAGTTTTCTGGGTGCAGCTGAAATTCAAGCAAAATGTACAAACATAAGGTTAGCAATGTAAAATGACACCAACCCAAATGACCCAACATAGGGCAAAAGCATTAAAACAATAACATGCAGGGGAATGCCCTCAAGTGCAAGCAATCCATGAGAAAAGTTAAGCCCAAAAAGAATAAAGCACCCAAATTGGCATCTTAATGATAAAATCACCTGAAAACACGACCCTTTGCACATTAAAACATTATCTTAAAAAAATCACAGAAACTTAGCAATGGGTACTCATAAAATACCTGCTGGCAATAGAGGCGAGCTAACAATTGTACTTGGAGCAGTCAACATTGGCATCTTAATGATAAAATCACCTGAAAACACGACCCTTTGCACATTAAAACACACAGATATATACCTAAATAAAAACACATGCTTATTAATTAAGATTCAATTAAACGCAATTGAAGAAAACTATGAGCAAAATTTATCCAGTGAAAACTCAATAAACAGGGAGATATTGGTTTTAAGGGGCCTTATCACATCATAGTTTGAGATATGCAACAGATTTGTTAGGTTCCGACTTCTGATCTCTTTGCACGAAGTGAATGTTAGTTAACCCAAAACAGCCTTTTAGTTATTGAGTTTTGCTTCAAGTCATCAATTCTCAACATATCAATTCGTCCTCATCATCATCATCATCATCATTTCTTGTCATCTCATTTCATCATCATAAAACAGATTTGATTATAGACTCAATTCAACATTATCATATATCAAATTGAAAACTTGGGTAGAATTGCAAAAGTACAAAAGGCAAAACTCCTAGGCATTGACTTGCCACGTTGTTCAGATTACAAATTGAGGCAGATTTTAAAAGAAATTTACCTCAACCCAGAACGGAAAACAGCCAAAGCAAACAAAATGAGGCAAAGCACTGCAAAACCCATAAGAAATTGATCAGGTTTCGAATTCTATTTTACCTCAAATATCCAGGAAAAAAAAACCCCAATCAAATTTATCAAATAACAACCAAGAATAGAACAGAGAAATAAGAATTTCAAAAACACTACCTGTGGGTGTTTGACAGAGAAAAAGTGAGAGCGCGAGCAAGGGAGAGAGAGAAAGGAGGAGGAGTGGTCGCCGTAGCCGGTGGTTGGTGGTTGGTGGTTGGTGGTTGGTGGTTGGAGGAAGATGGAACTGGAGCTGCTGTAGAGGGGGGATGAAGGAAGTGAAGCAATGGTTAGGTGAAGAATGGAAGCCAAAACTGAAGTCGGTGAACAATGGCTGTGTAAAACAGTCGAAGCCTCCAGATGTAGACATCGAAGAACCAACAGCTATCCCATTTTACCCTGAAGCTCTCCAACCAGCTAGTTGAAATCCAACCAGACGCCTCTCAACCCTAAACATCCGCTAGTTACATCCCAAGGAAAGATAGGGCAAAACGGGAAAAACACAAACCATCAGCCAAGGGTAAAATCGTAATTTTACTGTTCAAAAGGAGAGAAAAAGCTGGCTGAAAAGTTTAAAATGAAGGCATTTTCGTAAATTCACTGTGCTGAGGAACAGTGTTTAGTTGGATTGAGCTTGAGTTTAAACCCCTGAGAAATAATTGGCTCGGTATCATTTATCAAGAAAGTTAGACCCAGGATTGACTAATAAGCAGTATTATCCACTCTGTCTTCTCATCATCAGGAAGATGTTTGAGTAGAAAGACCTCTTCTGGATTAGTATTCAATAACATGTGTACGGCCTTCAAAACTTGCAATCTACTGAGGTTCAGTATCTTTGAGACCACTGCAAGTACATCCTCTCCTCTGAGTTGCGGTTCATTTGACTTGCCGAAAACTCCTTTTGTGAGTCTGCCGCCTCACCAATTGCCTGTGCCAATGGATTCTTTTTCGCTTTCTTATTTGGATGCAAGCCGGAATTGAAGTTGATAGATGTGTCGAAGTATGTGAGTTGGGAATAAAATTCTCATCATTTTCTTGTTTAACCTCCATATTTTCTTCAGCACAATAACAGAGAGAAAGTAAAGCATAAAAAACATCCGCTAAAGCAGCAAAGAAGTGCATTAACTGCTGACTATTCCAACCACAAGGACACAAGATGTGTTGGAGTTCATAATCACATGTAGAAGCAGTTTCATTTTTATTATACAGAAGATGGGGAATATTGTGAATATTTAATTTTGTTAAGTTTTCGAAAGAGAGAAAAGCATCGAATCACTCCCGAAAATATCTAATTCAAAGGCAGCTCCCTAGTGAAAATAGGAAAATTCATCACTCAAAACTGTTCCAGTCACACTTAAATAAATGTTAACCACCCCATCTCATTAGTTGACTAAAAGAATACATATATGATCTGAAACAGAGCTTATCTTTTTAACTAATTAATGCAATCAAAATCAATCTTACATATATGATCAGAAACAGAGCTTCTCTTTTATACTAAATCACTAACCACAGAAGCATTCGGTGCTAGTTGCTAACTTCAAGTTTATTACTTTCCTTCCTCCAGTAAAAACCCGAAAATTTTCTTACCAGCTGTACATAAAAAGATATTCAAGGGACAATTCTTTTACAGTATTAGGCTGAATCAGTTCCTGCAGTCAACTCGGAGGTCCTTTAGATAAAAAATATACTTAAGCCTAGAACTAGGAAAATTCTTTTGAAGCTTACGGTGCTCGCTACATTAAATAGAATTCTATTTATCATCCAGAACAAGGCAAACTTCAGATTCTATTTATCTTGTACTGCAAGTGTGTATGACAAGGGAGTGATAAGTGGAAGTGGAAAATCATAAGACAGAGGAGCAGAAACCAATGAGAGGGTATAAAAGAAGAACAACTGAATAAACAAATGGAAACAAAAACCTAACAATTCATAGATAATCAATGGATTAGAAACGAAAGTTGAAGACAGGGTTTAACAAAGCTGAAAAGGACAAAAACACATATAAACTAAAGCAAGCTCAACATTAGAATGACCTGTAAATGGCTCTTTCAATGGGATGCCCCAATGTACGCAACCGGTGAGCTTAACGACCTCATTGGCAAGTCGGGCCATGCGCTTTCTAACTACCGCATTGGCAAGTCGGGCCATGCACTTTCTCAGCTTTATAGAAAACTTCTCAAAGCTTTTTGTCTGGGACAGAGGAGGCAGATTAAGTTGTGGAGGACTTGGCTCCGAAGCAGGTGCAGGAAGAGGAGTAAATCCAACAACAGATTCTTCACTTGTTTCATCTGTCTCATCATTATGAAACATCATCTAGTTGATAGGTGGCAAAAGTTGTTTAAGCTGATCCGTAGGATCAATTCGCACCTTAGACGCCATGGAAAACCTAGTGATCAACGACCCAAAAGGCAGGGAATGAGTTTCGTAGTTGTTTATACCAAAATGAACAGCCAATGAATACCAAGCACGTGGACCAAACCAGGGCTACGTGTGCCTTCGGCACTCACCTTCGGTACAAATTCTACCGATCGCAACATTAGGGCAACCTCGCCCACTCTGACACGTGGCAGCCCCACAACTGACGCCCAGAGTCCCACATCGAAACTCTAAACAAATTGCACACCTCCCAAGGCCTATAAAAGAGGACACCCATCCCAGCTTGAAGGTAATCAATCAGAACTTACGGCATACTGCCTATTGATCTGCAGTTAAAACTTACTAAATCCGTACTTACTTAAGCATCGGAGAGCCTTCGGCCGGTACCACACCGGTGCCCTAGGATTTACCGTGTGTTTGCTATCTTACAGATCGCACACCCTACCGAGGACATCAGATACCGAAGAGACTTAATCACTAAGTTGCGCGGGAAAGTGCAGAACCATTTTTCTACGTCAACAGTTTGGCGCCGTCTGTGGGAAACGATATAATCAACCTACAATTCCTAAACAAAACAAATGGGAACCACATCAGGACCACAGTTCCTATCGGAGGATGGATTACCGTACGGTATGCCAAGTGGAGCAAGCCCCGCGCTGCACCCTAGCACTCCCTTCTGGCTCAGATGACCTCCCTCCGAAAGGAGATGGCCAAACTCCAAGAACGTAACAATCTCCTCTCGTCCAAAGTGGACGAAACCCAACGGTTGCTTAATCAGCAGGAAACACAAAACGTTCGGACCACCGAATCTTCCCAGAGTCAGCAGACCCCCGGTCGGCAGAGGAAGGGAAAACAGGGGGCAAAGGCAACGCCTGCGCCTTCCAAGCAGCTGGTGGTCCCAGCACCCCAGGACCAACCGCACGTACCGAAGAAGGTGTACACCGATTGTCGTCACCGGATCAACGACAAGAAGGATGCCGAACGGCATAGGTCACCTATCAGAGTAAATGCCAACTTGAGGGATTCCCGGATGAGGGTCTTGGGGGATAAATCGCCCCTTCGGAGGGCTCAGGGTTTGGATTCGGCGCAGGAATCCGATGATGAGTACATCCCCACCCGGGACACCGAATCAAGCTACCGTTCATAAGCTCCCCCGGAGTATTCGATGGCGAGATCACCAAGTCCGAGGAAAACTTCCGAAGACTTCGGTTCCGAGGACGTCCCCAGCCGAGACCCTACCATCCGATTACTTTCCCAAAGAATCCAGAAGATGGAGGAGGACCGAACCCGATCCCAGGTCCCTGACTGGGGAAAACTTCGGCCGGGACCATTTACGGAGCGCATCAAGAGGTCCAGACCGGACAGGGAGGTGCAGCCGCTGCGCATACCCTTCTATACTGGTGTGGAGGACCCTCTGACGCACCTCCACTCTTTCCAATCGGCAGTTGGATGTAAGGGCCTTAGCGACGAGGGACAATGCCTGCTGTTTCCCTCGTCCCTCACCGGAGCTGCGCTGAACTGGTTCTACCGTCTCGAGCCAGGGACGGTACACTCCTTTGACGAACTGAAGCAGATTTTTCTCAACCACTTCATGATCCAGACGAACCGTTTGTACTCTGCCGACGATCTGTACACGATTCGGCAGAGGGAAGACGAACCCTTATGGGAATACGCAGCGCGCTTCAGTCACGAGTACTCGAGGTGTCCCGAAACGGACGATAGGGCAGCCTACGGCGCCTTCAAGAGTGGCCTACGGTCCTCTCACTTCCGGTACCTCGTGCACAGTAGCAACTGGCGCACGTATGACGAGTTAATGAAGCAGGCGGCAGTCCATGCGAAGGCCGAATACTTCAACTCCAAACCCGGGCCTTCGGCTCGGAAGGAGGAATCGGCAACCAAAAGTTATCCAGGCCGAACCGAGGACCCGTCGGCAGGACACAAACGGAAGGACGACCGGGATAGCCGTCAGGGAAACTCGAAGAAAGGACGTGGGAAGTACGGTCGTAACGACCACCGAGCACCCCTACCGAATCACGATCATGCTCAGGAAGTCTTCACCCTGCTAAACACGACGTACGAAACCGTTCTAATGAACGAACATGACCAGATCCCGAAGCAGACCAACCGGAAGCCCAATCGACAGGATAATCGGGACACTGGCAAATTCTGCCGATATCACCAGCAGAACAGCCACAATATCGAAGACTGCATCAGTCTAAGGAAGATTGTCGAGCGGCTGATTCGGGAAGGAAAGCTGGATCAGTACCTTGCCAGGCCGCCACAGGCCCCGGCACCAAACGCGAATCGGCAAATCAACATGATCAACACGATCAGCGGTGGCCCCACCCTGGCGGGACCCTCTAACCGTTCGGTGAAGCAGTATGTGCGCGCCGCCCACTGCCCTCAGGTCTTCGGCATAGCAGAGGATCGGTGCCGAAAGTTGCCAAAGGTGGGATGGGAGCCCATCACATTTAGTGAAGAAGAGGAGGAGGGGATCATCTACCCCCACGACGACCCAATGATCATTCGGGCCGAGATCGCCGATTACGACGTGGGTCGGGTGCTGATTGACACTGGAAGCTCGGTGAACGTGATCTTTGCCGATGCGTTAGAAGGATTGGGGATTGCGGACAGCATAGTCAATCGGCAAATCACGCCTCTCCTCAGTTTCTCTGGATATCTGGTACAACCGGTCGGTAGCATCAGTCTGCCCATCGCCTTCGGCGGGGCCCCCAGGAAGACCATGACCTACGACCAATTCCTCATTGTTGACTGCCCAACGGCATACAACGTCATCATAGGGCGAACGGCACAACCAAGATCAAAGCCCACATATCCCCGCACATGTTGCTGATGAAGTTCCCGACACGCAACGGTACCGGAGCCATCCGTGGAGATCAGCTCAGCGCACGGACGTGCTATGCCACGGCCCTTAAGTCGGTGGCCAGCAAACCGCCAATGGAGGCCATGACCGTTCAGGGACTACCGAACGGTAGCGAGCTCATTGACGACCCCAGAGAGGACAACCCAACGCCGGTTGCACAGCCCGCCGAGGAGCTCGAGACAATAATCCTGAACAAGGAATTCCCCGACCGGTGGGTAAAGATCGGCACCAATCTAGACCCCGACCTCCGAAGGCAGTTCATCGACTTCTTACGGCAGCATGTGGAGGTCTTTGCCTGGTCTTATGACGATATGCCCGGCATATCACCCGATGTCATCAGCCACAAGCTCAGCATCTCCCCCGCCCATAAACCAATCAGGCAAAAGCGCCGATCGTACGATGCTGAACGGTATGAGGCGATGCGAGCCGAAGTTGACAAGCTCAAAGCCATCGGCTTTATCAGGGAAGCTACGTACCCTGTTTGGCTTGCCAACTCAGTCATGGTTCGGAAGGCCAGGGGAGGATGGCGAATGTGTCAGGACTATACCGACCTGAATAAGGCTTGTCCGAAGGACAGTTTTCCCCTTACCGAGGATCGACCAGCTCGTCGATGCCACCGCCGGGCACGAGCTGCTCAGCTTCATGGACGCGTATTCAGGATACAACCAGATCTTCATGGACCCTGCCAATAGAGAACATACGACATTCATCACGGATCGCGGTTTGTACTGTTACAACGTCATGCCTTTCGGCCTGAAGAACGCGGGGGCAACTTACCAACGGCTCGTCAACCGGATTTTTGCTAAGTACATCGGCGGTATCATGGAGGTATATGTCGACGACATGTTGGTAAAAAGCCGAACGGCAGGAGATCACCTAGAGAACTTGGCCCTCATGTTCGGCATTCTAAAGGACTACCGAATGCGGCTGAACCCGGCGAAGTGCGCCTTCGGTGTATCTTCTGGTAAATTCCTCGGGTTCATGATCAGTCAAAGGGGGATCGAGGCCAATCCCGAGAAAATAAAAGCCATAATCGACATGGAGACGCCGAAGACACAGAAGGACATTCAGAGCCTTACCGGACGTGTCGCTGCCCTGACACGCTTCATCTCCAAGGCTACCGATAAGTGCGTGCCGTTCTTCAAAGCTTTGAAAGGGGGCAAACATCATATAACGTGGACTCCCGAATGCGACCAGGCATTTCAAAACTTGAAGAACTATATGAGCCAGGCACCACTGTTATCGAAACCGCTGCCAGGCGAGGTACTACTTCTATACCTTTCGGTATCCAACACTGCCGTCAGCTCAGTGTTGATAAGGAAGCCGGAGAAGGCGGAGCTACCGATCTTTTATGTCAACAAGGCGCTCCAGAGCGCAGAGCTTCGGTACCCACCCTTGGAGCAGCTAGCACTGGCCCTGGTCGTCTCGGCACGGAGACTTCGCCCTTACTTCCAGGCTCACGAAATCACAGTTCTGACGAACCAGCCTCTTCGGCAGGTACTCCAAAAGCCGGAAACATCGGGCCGATTGGTCAAATGGGCAATCGAGTTGGGGGAGTTTGACATACAGTTCAAGCCAAGGCCTGCAGAAAAAGGCCAGGCCGTTGCCGACTGCATCTCCGAGCTCACGCCGCCTGCTTTATCGGAACCATCATCGCCGAGCGTCGTCCCTACCGCACCAGAGAAAATGAATACCGAACGTTTCGACACTTCTGTTCCTCTCTGGATCCTGCACGTGGACGGCTCGGCAAACCAGCAAGGCTGTGGTGCCGGCTTAGTGTTAACCACTCCGGACGGTAGTAAAATCGAGTACGCCCTCCGATTCAACTTCCGAACCTCCAATAACGAGGCAGAATATGAGGCCCTCCTGGCTGGCCTTCGGCTGGCCCAGAGCATGAGCGCGAGGCAGATCAGCATTCACAGCGACTCCCAGCTCATAGTAAATCAGATAACGGCAGACTTCGCAGCAAAGGATGCCTCCATGTCAGCCTACCTATCGGCAGCCCACCAACTATTACAAAAATTCCAAGCCTACGGGATACGGCAGATCCCCAGGTTGGAAAATAGCCATGCCGACGCACTCTCACGTTTGGCCTCGGCCATAAATGACAAGATCGGAAGGAAGGTACCGGTGGAGATATTATCCCAACCGAGTACGACCGCCGCTGAGGTATGTACCATTCGGTACGAAGACACATGGATGTCTCCAATCTATGCCTACCTGACAGCCGGAACCCTTCCTACCGATAAGTCCCAAGCTCGGAAACTTCGCTACCGATCGGCAAGGTACACAGTCATCAACGATGTTCTGTACAAACGGGGCTACACGACGCCATATTTAAAATGCCTGACCAAGGAGCAGGGGGACTACATCCTTCGGGAGGTCCACAGCGGAATCTGCGGTGACCATTCTGGATCCCGATCGCTCGCACACAAGGTCTTCCGGCAGGGTTATTTCTGGCCGACTCTGCATCAGGATGCGAACACACTAGTCAAGAGGTGTGACAAATGCCAACGGTTCGGTAGTGTCCCTCATATTCCCGCCGAGCCACTGTCACCGATCGTGAGCCCATGGCCGTTCGCCCAAGGGCAAGGGTCAGGTCAAATACGCTGTTGTTGCCGTAGACTACTTTACCAAATGGGTAGAAGCCAAAGCCCTAGCGACGATAACGGCAGCCAGAGTCGAGGATTTCGTTTGGACAAATATTTGCTGCCGATTCGGCATCCCCTACGCCATCGTCACGGATAACGGCAGGCAGTTTGATTCTGAAGTCTTCAGGCGATTCTGCAAACGACTCAAGATCAACCTATTCTTTGCTTCGCCAGCACACCCCCAATCGAACGGACAGGTCGAAGCCATGAACAAAATTGTCAAGAAGCTGTTGAAACGGCAGCTTGACAAAGCCAAAGGAGCCTGGCCGGAAAAGCTTCCGGAAGCGCTATGGGCCATACGAACATCCTACCGAACGGCAACTGGGGAAACACCATTCTCCATGGCTTTCGGTTCAGAGGCAGTAGTCCCAGTAGAAATCGGAGAGCCCTCCTACCGAACGGAAACCTTCGCACCGAAGGCAAATGAGGAAGCGCTAGCTTTGAGCCTCGACTTACTCGAGGAACGCCGAGCACAAGCCAACCTTCGGAACGAAGCTTACAAGCAACGCGTCTCTCGGTACTATGACTCCAGGGTCAAATCCCGCTCTTTCCGAATCGGAGATTGGGTTATGCGGAAAGTCTCTTTGGCAACCAAGAATCCCACGGAAGGAACCCTCGGACCTTCCTGGGAGGGACCCTACGAAATCATCGGTATCCAGCGATCGGGGACTTACCGACTTAGAGACTCCAACGGAAAGACCCTCGGTCATCCTTGGAACGTAGAGCATTTGAAGTACTATTTCAAATGAAGTCACCTTGCCTACGGCAGGGTCACAGAGGAGTCACAAAAGCCTTCGGCATCTCTACAAGCACAGCCTTCGGCATGATAGCGTTACCAAGCCAACGGCGGGTTCTAAATTGTAAAACGCGCTCCTAATTGTAATCTCGCATTCGGCAGTTTATCAATAAAAGGGCCTTCGGCTCACATATTCGGCACCTTTGTTATACCTTTCAAATCTCTATATTTTTTGTTCAAAAAAAAAGGGTACGGTAGGGACCATCGGTCGCAGCAAACTACGCATTTTGGCATCGCCATTATCCTACCGATTAAAGGACAACTTTGTAAACTTTATTGGGCGTTATAGGCTTTCGGTAATTACTGGCCGTTGCTTTACAATCGGCAAGCACGCGCATTGGTTTTCAATTCCATAACACTTGGAACTCCCTGCGTAAAAGGAAACGTCACTGGCCAACGGCCAATGACCTTTGTCTAAAAGCCTTCGGCATTAAACAGAAAAATGCTACCGATTCAGAAGTAAGATCAAGAAACTTAAAGTGAAAACATAATTTTAATTAAAACATGCCTACGGCATTGATTATCCAAACAAAAGATGCCAAACGGCATAAAAGTCATAATGAAATTACAAAAATGCCATCGGCATAAAAAGTGCATTGGGTAAAGATGAGCAATCAGGATGAAGGGCCCTCGGCATCCGCCCCTTCGGCACCAGCGGCTTCGGGTTCCTCCGGAGCGTCCTCTCCCTCGTACTCTTCGATCATTTCTTCTGTGACGCCTTCGGGAAGGGGAGGAGGATCGGCAATGAAGTTCAGGTTGAGCTTCGTCCCAGGATTGTACCGCTTGAATCGGTAGATGAGATCCACCATCTCCAAGCCCACCTCCTTGTCGAGCAAGGTAGAGAAATCGGTAGAGTGGTGATACTTTTGAATGGCCTCCTGGACGGCAGCCTCAATTTCCGACGCCTTGGCCCGCTCCGACTCCTCCAAAGCCACCTCGACGGCCTCCTTTGCCTCCAGAGCCTCTTTGGCCGACAGCTGTGTCGCCTCCAGGGCAGACGACATATCTGCGAACTTGGACTCATAAACCTTGACCTGCCGTTCGGCAGCTTGCAAGTCCTTCACCAGGTTCGCATGGTCCTGGATAGCCTTGCCAGCCTCGGCAACCCTGGCCCTGCCGTCATCGTAGGCCTTCTTCGCCTTCTCGGCGGCATTGATGGCCCGCTTCATGCAAAGCCACATGTCCATCGAAGCCTGCAGAACAACGAGCATGTCAGCAAAGATACAAATATGATCGGTAATCTGGACTTGAGAATGTTCTGGACTTACCGATGCCTGAAGACGAAAGGCGCGACCCGCCTCCTCCCGAAGGAGCTTCTTCGGCAGCTCCTCGATCTCGTTCAGCTCCATTTGCGAACCAATGATCATGTGGTTCGCGAACTGGACCGTCTTCGACGGACAGGCCAGGGTGACGGGATCGGCAGACTCCTCGTCATTTTCAGCAGCAAAGATAGCCCGAGTTGGCTCGGCCTGCCGTCCGCGTTTTGGGGCCGGTTCGGCATCTAAGTCGACGGTGAAGGGCCGTTTGCCGGCCGCTCGGGAGGAAGCTCCTTCGGTAGAGGCGCCTCGGCGGGGAGAAGGACCGGCCGCTGCCGCTCCGGCCTGTGCCGATTCGGCATTGAGCTCGCGGAGACGGTCGGCCAAGGTTTGGTCCTCGGGGTCTACCAATGCCGAGCCCTGCGGCTGGTTCTTCTTCTTCTTCCCCTGGAAGCCCATCATAAGACGGCGCTTGGAGGACTCGTTCATCCTCTTAGCCTCGACAGCTCTCCGGTCTTCTGTCACTGCGAGAAAAGGGTTCGGTAAGACCCGCAACAGAAGAAAAGAAACGATTTGTAAATTACGCAGTGTACTTACTCTCGGCAGGATCGATCAGTTGGGCCCGGATCAGATTGGTGGTGAAGAGGAACTGCGGATACACTCTCTCCTCGGGAGGGACTTTCCTCCTCACTCTCTCCACCTGCTGAATCTCGGCCTGTGTTGCGATCGACTGCTTCAGCTTACCTACAAAAAGAAGAGAAAGGAAGGGTTACTTACGGTAAACAGATAACTCGGAGAAGGTACCGAACGGCACGTGGTCCTACCGGCCATTTGGAAGGTTGTGGGAATGCGAAATCGGACAGGCTGTCCCGAAGGAGACTCCCAGTAGCCCGAGAGGAGCACCCGCCGATTCCTCCACGACTTCTGTGAAGTCGGTACCCAGCTGACAAAGTGGCCTCGATCGGTAGCCCTGAGGCAGTTCGCCTGCACCCACCCGCCGTGATCGGCACACTTGGACTTGGTAACGCTGTACAGATGGAAGAACTGCTCATAGGAGGGGCTCCCTTCGCCAGCCATACCGAAGGCCGTTATCACTCCCATGAGGGCCACCCAGAAGTTGGGGTTGAATTGCCCTGGGGCGTAGCCGATATGGGCTAGAATCCTCTGCACCGCCGGCTGCAACGGCAACCGAACGCCTTGCACAAGGACGTCAGTAAAGAAAACTACTTCGCCGTCCTTCGGCGCGCTAAGGGATTCGGTAGGGCCCGGGATCCTCATCCGTACCGAGTCGGGAATGCGGTATTCTGCTCGCAATTTGGCAATCTCCCTATCGGTAATCTTGTTCGGCCCAAGGTAGTCTACGCCGAATAGATTTTCCTTCGGCACCCCAATAGGCATCCTAGGGTTACTTGGGTACACTACCGATACCCTGGGCCCAGATGGCGGATTGGCCACCGACTCTCCACGGCCGGAAGTGGAGGTCTCCGATTGACGGCTACCGCTCGCCTCCCCGGGCATACCGAGGCCCACGTGGCGGCCGTCACTGTAGACGATGGACAATGGGACGGGAGCAGTCATTAGCCCCTTCCCAACTCCGTGTGTTGGAATGAAGCTGGGCCCTTCGCCGAGTATCTCGACGTCGGTGTCACTCCCGCCCTCGGCATCAGGCCCTGCCGCTTTGCTGTCGGAGTCAAAGAGACCATCCGATGACTCCTCGTCGAACGCATTGGGCTCGCGCTCGGAGAATGACTCGCTATCAGACATCTACAAAAACAGGAAAAAGGGAAACTAAGGCTCATGCCGGACGCTATCCTACCGATTCCTACATCGCTACCTATGGCGACTAGACTACCGAAAGGAACCCTATGGTCAGTCTAGTTCGAACCAAGGAAGGACGTAACCCTTAAAGAATACAGCAGATTAAAGAGAAGGGTGCCGAACGGTACCTTAAAGTGTGCTATGGAAGGTAAGCACGATCTGCTCTTCAGGATGCTTCCTACCGTTCGCAATGCTGGGAATCGCCTTTCTACCGTTCGAAATGCCGGGAATCGCCTTTCCTACCGTTCGAAATGCCGGAAATCGCCTAATTACCGAAAGCCCTCGTCGGAAATCGCCTCAGACAGAGCTCTCACTTCTCACTAGATGCAAAGTGAGTTCGCCTCCGGGGTCATCTCTATTTATAGGGGGAGTGGTTGGCAACGGTACTCCTCGAAAAACCAAACGGCGCATTAATGCGCCGCGCGCCATCATTACTCTCGCCACGTGTCGCTCACCCTATGGGGAACAGACGGCACGCGAGGCGCGGAAGTCGAAGCGCTCAGACGTCCCTTCGCTCGTCAGATCGACGCGACCTTCTGACTTCACCAACGTCAGCCTCTGAGCTGGTCATGCCGGAAGGAACAAAATTTGGCCCCTTCCCTAGGTGGGGTTACCGAACGGTAAGGCCGTGATTCCTCCCGAAGATAACTTCAAATCCCTTTCCGAAGACTCTCGCAAGGGGACTTGGGGGACTCCTGTTTATACCAAAATGAACAGCCAATGAATACCAAGCACGTGGACCAAACCAGGGCTACGTGTGCCTTCGGCACTCACCTTCGGTACAAATTCTACCGATCGCAACATTAGGGCAACCTCGCCCACTCTGACACGTGGCAGCCCCACAACTGACGCCCAGAGTCCCACATCGAAACTCTAAACAAATTGCACACCTCCCAAGGCCTATAAAAGAGGACACCCATCCCAGCTTGAAGGTAATCAATCAGAACTTACGGCATACTGCCTATTGATCTGCAGTTAAAACTTACTAAATCCGTACTTACTTAAGCATCGGAGAGCCTTCGGCCGGTACCACACCGGTGCCCTAGGATTTACCGTGTGTTTGCTATCTTACAGATCGCACACCCTACCGAGGACATCAGATACCGAAGAGACTTAATCACTAAGTTGCGCGGGAAAGTGCAGAACCATTTTTCTACGTCAACAGTAGTAGTCGTTTGGGGTTGCAGCCAGGCAAATGGCTCGGAAAATGTGGGCGAGCAGATCAATGGACACATTATTATTCCCAATGGCATAAAGGAGGCTTGCTCTGTCAAAATCAATTAAGCTACTGTCAAGGAGACGTTCTTCAGGGTCGATATCAGCACTCACTATTGTGTTAAGTATTCTGTAAAACTTAGTCAGATTGCGATAGCTTATTAAAATCTCAGATTGATTACAGTAGCAGAAAGCTAGCTGTGATCTTCATTCGCATTCATTAACTTTGCGAGGGCAAAAACTGCAAGTAGAAACAGAGGCTTAGCTATGATATGCTCATTGCTTAACTACTATCTATTGGCAAAGAATGATTAATCCAGTACCCAAGTAACATTATTAACACAGTCATGAGTTCTCAAAGTTAAGGCACTAATAATATAACAAATTAACAATAATATGATCTAAAATAGGGTATTATCCGTTACCAAGACAGACAAGCAAAACCAGCTGCTGAGGAAGCCAATCCAGCAGCAATTGGAAAATTGTTGTATGGAGCAATATGTACATTCAACTTTTCCCAATCCTTCTTAGTAATCTTGATTCCCTTTTCCTTATCATGAACATCAGTAGCTCGACTACGAATTTCCCTTAAACGGCTCTGGAATCTGCCTCCAGAAAGAGAGATTTCCCAAAACGATCATGGTATTTGTAAAAGCAAATTATTAAACCTCTGAGAATTCTGTGGCAAAATTAATAGTGCCAATTTTTAAGTTTTAGTTCCAACCTATAACCCAATTTGTACAAATTTATGATTTTTAAAACTCAAGACCCACACATTTATGATCAAATTGAATGATTCGGTCGAGTTGACCCAAAATTGTGCCCACCCCTAAAGAGAGATAATGTAGGCCGTGCAGTTCATAAAATGAAAAATATAAATAATTTAAGACAAACTTTAGCATCAAAAAGTAAGTTTTTGGCTTATGTGTGGCTTTCTTCATGTTCATCTCTCATACTTTTCTTATTCTTTTTAATGCATGCTTAATTAAGTTGCTTTTTTTCGGTTTGTTGTTTCTCAATGGGACTTGCCTTTCTCATTTTTAACATTTTGTGTTAGCTTCTTGTATTTCCAGTAATATAAGGAACATGAGACGCAATCAAATGAAAAACACACTCAAGGTACATCAATAAATAAATATAGAAAAGTATCACACACTCGAAAAAAGATTGGGGCTCTTGGAACTTTTTCGATTTTGTTTTCTCTAACTTTATCTCTTTTGTTACATGATAAGTCATTTAAATAAAAATTTTTTTTTTTTTTTTTTTTTTTTTTTTTTTTTTTTTTTACACAATATTGGAAAAGGTGGGAATCAAATCTAAGACCTTGGCTGCAAAATTCAGAGTTTCACTTTAGTCCATACAATTCTTGCCATTTACGTTTTGTAATTCAATAGTTATTGTAATTTGAGGATAAAGACTTAATCTTGTTATCTATTACTGTTAAGAATGGACACTTACTATATTTGGAATGGTAATGTCTCGATATTTTAAACCAAACAAACAACGAAACGGGATAGAAATGTCTTGATATATATATTTGGGATGATAATGTCTCGATATTTTGACATCTCTTCTAAAAAAGAAATTAAAAGGAGAAGAATCAAATCTTATTATCCCTAAAAAAAAGGCCAATACAAATAATTAAAAATCCTTTCAATAAATTTTAAATTTAAAAAAAAACCTATATCGTATCAAATAGGTATTCATACAGTACTATCCTGACTTTTTAGCAAAAAAAAAACCTAAATCCTTTTTTGTAAAGTCATCGAAGGAGTTTCCAAGTTTTGAATTACCCAGTAAAAAAACAAGATATAATTTTATGCATTAAAAGATAAACAAAAGAAAAGTTATGAACTCAGCAGTTCCATATGTTGTTAGGAGTGAAAAGAACTAGAGATGATTTCCATTTAAGAGAAGGGGAGGAAAATAATCAAACTCTTAGCCAAGTATATAAATAAAGTAGTCTATACCTGTAAGAAAGACCATGTCTCGTCCCACTTGGACTGAACTTTCCAGGGTTGACAAGAGTTTGTAGCAATTTTATATTAAAATTACATGACCCATTTTGTGTAATATTAGTTTTCTTTTGTCTTACTCTTATTTTGTGTGTTGTTTTCCACAGTAGTACTAGAGATACACCAACTTTTAAGTGTCAACTAATATATGACAATATCTTATTTGTTATGAATAAATAAGTTCTAAAATTAAAACACTGCCACATCAGTCGATATATCTTAAAAGTTAGTTTCTCTAGTACTATTTCTCAAAACTATACACACAATTTCTAAAAGCGCAAGAGTTGCAATATTATTTACCCTGAGTGTTGGTAAGGTGAGGCAAACAAAATCAGCTCCAATAAAAATAGACACCAATATATCAAAACTGTGGTCACTCTCTCACCCTACAAATTTAGAAATGAGCTAACATCAAAAAAACGTTTGGGGTCATTCTCAATATGGGCAATCGGGACCCACCCACTAACTAATCGGTTTCAAATTTCATAATCGAAATAAATAAAAAATATAGGAAGGAAACTTTTTGATAGTAACAAAACAAACATCAATGGAAAATCAAAGCAGAATGATTAGTCTACGACTGGGACGAAGCGACTACAGAATTAGAAAAATAGAGAAGCTTGATTTCAACTTGCATATGCTCGTGGTCTGAATGTGTTCGTGACAGCGGTGCCCCGCCCCTTCCCCACCAGAGCACTCTCCCTCTCTTCGTCCCCCCCCTCTCTCTTCGTCCGACTCTTTTTTCCCAGCTCCCCATCCCTATCAATATATACAAATTGTGCTTGGAGGGAGGTTTGGGGGGAGAGTACAGGTGAGAGAGTTGTGCTTGGAGGCTCGTTCTCTCGCCGAACGATTAGCAGCCTCGAGGAGCTAGGTCTGATCGGCATCGGCAGGACCTGGACTCAAGAAGCCTCTCGAAGGAGAGGTAGATGGCGGGGGGGAATCAGAGAACTCGAGAAAATGGGATGGGGGAGAAAGGGATGGAGAGAGAGAGAGAGAGAGAGAGAGAGAGAGAGGGATCGGGAGGTGCGACTGTGCGTCGGTGAGAGGGGTGGGGAAGGCTATGCGTCTGGGTTTTTTTTATTATTATTATATATTTAGTTTTTGGAGTCCCGTTCTCCTGGATCCCTAGGGCATGTTTGGTATGGCTCACTAAAAAAATGGGCTCATACTATAATGAGGGGTAAGTTATAAGGGGTAAGTTATAAGGGGTTCACTTTATAGCCATCAGATCGATCCCATGGTTGAACTGTTATAGTACAATCGGGTTGAAATTACCCATACCAAAAGATGCAATCCGAAAGTGCAAAGCACGCTCTCTCTCATCCTGATTGACTCTTCTTCCTCACAAGCCACTCGCTTTACAATATGTTCATCTTCTCTCTCTCTCTCTCTCTCTCTCTCTCTCTCTCTCTCTCTAGCCATCTCTGGTTTGAGGTTATCAAAAAACCAAACTCAACCAACACAGACAGAGAGGGTTTTGAGTCTTTTTTTTATTATTGACACTTTATCACCCCAAAAATTTATTTTCTGACGCTTCCTCTCCTCTCTCGCACTCTCCCAAACCAAATTCGGAACCCTAGTTTGACCTAGCCAAGCCGCCGCAACTCAGGACCTCCGTTGACGACCTCACCGCGAAGCCACTATCGCGACTCCACAGCCAAGCCACAGTCACGACCTCCATTGTCGTTCTCCACAGCGGTGAGTTCTGATATTGGTTTTGTACTCTCTATATGTTATAATTCATTGATCCCCTTTTCTTATTATTGCAACAGTAGTGGCATTCATGGGCTCCATTTTTTGCCATGGTCCTCTCTCTCTCCCTCTCCTTCTCTGTAAGTCCTCTTCTTCTCCCTCTTCAAATTTCAGTAATCCTCCATACCACTGACCTGAACCACCTACTTCTCTGGTTATCTTCTTCTTCGGGTCATTCAATTTCAATTTTTTTTTCTTTCTAAATTCTACTTTAGGGATTCAGTTGGGTTAATTTTCGAAATTTTACTTTAGGGATTCATTCAATGCCTAATTTATGAGCTGTGGCTTTATGAATTATCAAGTGGACTACTTGTTTTTAATTGATCATTGATAATGGTATTATTGTAGTTTTTAATTGATCTTTGCCACAAGATGTGATATTTTGTCCTGTGTTTTTCAATGTTCTGTGTTTGTTGTTTGAACTACATGGGATGAACTCCAGTCCATTGCCATAATAGTTGCTTTTCTTTCTTCCTTCATTGCTTTTAGTGGGTGAAGACATGATAAACTAAAAAATTACATAAAGCACACAAAACTTCCCAACATTGTGTTAATAAATATATTATTAGTGAAGGCAAAAAGGAATGTTGATTTGAACTGGGAAAAAAAAAAGTTAATGCTTTTGTTACATAAATGAAGACCAAGTAGTTATAGCCAGAGCACTTGAAACAGCCTGACTCAGTTGTGACTTGGGAGTGTATATAATTAGACATTAAGTTGCCCATGATGTGACATTTGGTCATGTAGTGTGAATGCATGAACTAGCATTCTGGGACCATTTTACTGACTGAAGATGACACTGGATTTTCAGATCACCAACCTTCTGAATGTTGCATTGTCATGCATGACTGTACTTTTGTAAATGGTTGCTGCTGCTTACTTACTAACTTAATTAAGTGAAGTCATTCTGCCTGTGGTCATGCTAATGGTTTATTTATTTATTTTTAAGAGAAACATAATTTTTCTGCGTGGTTATTACTAATCAATCTCCTTGGAGCATAGAGTTTGCTTCTCCTATCTATTCGATTTTCATCAAGCCGTGCAACTAATGTTAAGTTTTCTTTTACTTATTGTTTTCTGCAGAGAGGATGAGATTGAGGACATTCAGAAGGTACTACCTCATATTCTTGATATTAGAATATCTTACCCGTAATTTATTGAAATAAAAATAAACCAAGTTATTAAATTCTTTTAGTATTGATGGAAGTTGTGTTACTAAATTACCAGTACCTACGCTTGGTTGACATGGTTGTTTTGAATTGTAAGATTAGCTTACTATTCGATGGACCCACTTGCTGATATTAGGAAATGGAGTTATTAATTGAAATGAATGGGAATGTGCTTGTGCTTGTTTCTTATGCTATATTAGATTTTGTGTGAGTGTGATGCTAATCAGCCATTGAAATACACATCTTTTTAAGAGAAACATAATTTTTCTGCGTGGTTATTACTAATCAATCTCCTTGGAGCATAGAGTTTGCTTCTCCTATCTATTCGATTTTCATCAAGCCGTGCAACTAATGTTAAGTTTTCTTTTACTTATTGTTTTCTGCAGAGAGGATGAGATTGAGGACATTCAGAAGGTACTACCTCATATTCTTGATATTAGAATATCTTACCCGTAATTTATTGAAGTATTGGAACATGGGAAAGCTGAAAACATGTATCTTCATGAGATGCTTGAGCAAAATTTGAAGTATTGCAAGAGCATTAAGTAGACCTCCCTTGATATGGCTTGCTATAAAATGTAACATATGGATCTGAATTCATTGTTCTAAAGGTGCCCCTGTAGATTATTTGTTTCAATTCATGATTCTCTTTCACCTATATAGAAACATAGGATTGGTTTGTTTTTTTTTAAATCTGGAATTGTTTGTACATTTAGAAAATGGAGAACATTGGATTGCTTCAGAAAATTGTGGTTGTTTTGTTCACTTTGCCTTCTTTAGGAAGCTTATATAGAGTACGTGTGGAGCTTCTTAAGTCAGACAATTCAATATTGCCCCATTTTTTGCCAAACCATTTGATGATTTTTTAATGGTTCTTTTTGTTCCTAATAATGTTCCCGTAATATCACTTTGTACAAGAATAGTTATGTTTCTTCAATCTTATCGGATTGGAATGCAGCTGTTTCTTAGTTTCATTGTTCTGTGTATTGCTGTTATGGATGTTGTAGTTGTATTTGGTTCTGTATTGATGTTATGGATGTTGTTTGGTTATATTGATTATTGGTTGGTTGATTAAGTTCACCCCTTGAGGTGTTTTGATGTTTGGTTATGTCCCTCTTATTTAGTTCAACAGTTTCTTTGTGCTTTGTGTGTTCCACATTTTCCGATTTTCTCTTCTTGTGTTCTAGGTTGGGAAGCTCTTTGCCAATTAGTATGAGTTTCTTAGGTCTTTTAGTTTCTGATTGCTTTTTTCTTGTCTCAGTTTCTATTTTGTTTTTTTGGTCTTTGTTTCTCCTCTTTGCTAATTTCTTGTTTTGCCATCTCTTTTGCAGGGTTCTTTATTTTTTTTTAAATGACAGTTGGACCTAGATTTTTGACATATAGAACATTGTTGTCATTGAGAACCATCATCAATTTGGCGTGGGACAACATTGTATTCCATCACAAGAAGTGTGCTGTAATTATATGGAAAAAAACATGTAACTGAGGAACTATATATTTTAGTCTTGTAATTTAGTCCGCATTCAATGAAATTGAGTTCAATTTACTTGAGAAATTTCAGTCTTGAATTCGTTCTTTTTATATTCTCAAGTGTGTGCAATAGAAAAATACTTCTTTTCCATAGAACAATGAAAAAATACTTTTACTTATATTATACATTGAAGAGAACATTGTATACATTGTGTATTCTGCCCATGTATTGCTGTTACATTGTCTTCCTATTGTTCTCTTATTGCTGCCATATTACTTTTTTCACCTATGTATTGGCAATTATAAAGTTGAAGTTGGACATCAGGTGTGCATATTGTCATCTAATTGTCGTTATATTGCCTTCCTATTGCTCCCTTATTGCTAGCATATAAATTTTTTTTATCTCTGTATTGGCAATTACAAAGTTGAAGATGAACATCAGGTTTACGTATTGCCGTATGATTGCTGTTATATTGTCTTTGCTCTCTTATTGTTGCCATATCAATTTTTTCAACTCTTCCTCTGGAACATATAAAGTTCAAGTTAGACATCAGATTTATGTAGTGTATTTTTTTAGAGCGTAGAGAATGTCACAAAGAGTTCCTACCAAATTTCGGTGTATTTTTTGGATTTTTATTTCATTTATTACGAATTTTGTAAGTTAAATTCTAAAAAATTATTATTAAATGGTATGGAGTGACACATCATGGATTTTTATTTAATTTATCATTATTAAAAAGTAATATAATAATATTTTAGGATAAATAATAATATAATAACGATTTAGGATAAAAAGTAATAGAATAATAATTTAGGGTAAATAATATATAATAATAATTTAGGATTAATAACAATATAATAACAATTTAGGGTAAAAGTAATATAATAATCATTTAGGGTAAATAATAATATTATAATAATTCACAGTAAAAAGTAATATAATAATATTTTAGGGTAAATAACAATATAATAACAACTTAGGATAAAAACTAATATAATAACAATTTAAGGTAATAATAATATAAGAATAATTTAGGCCTCCATAATCATAAGGAGTTTGTAGTAATTTTTCGTGTATTTTTCTGGTTTTTAATTAATTTTTTATAATTTTTTTAAGATAAATTTGGAAAAAGTAAACAAAATGACATGTGGCGCAATCATAAGATGCCACCTGTCGAAAACAATGACTGGTCTCCTTTCAGCTGCAGCCACGTGTGATTCTCTATATTTTTATTTTTATTTTTTTTAGATTTCACTTCTAAAATTCATAACAAATAAATTAAAAATCCAAAAAATACTTCGAAAAGTCCTATAAACTCCTTGTGACATTCTCTACACTATCAAGCTATAAAAATATAATTTCACTTAGAAAAATATAAATTGACGACAAAAACTCACATTTATTTCTAAATGATTTAAAACACTTAGTGGATGCTCTATAATATAACAATCATGTTCTTTGATTCGAGGATTACCATGAACATAAATATGTG